CTTTCTCAAGATAACGATTCAATTCGAATATATGATAATTGTTCAAAAAAAATTATATATTATTAATTATTAATAAAAATTAAATTTTTTTAATATTGAAACTCTTCTACTATCAAATATTTTATGTCTTATAAATTAGTATAATTTAAATTATAAAATAAATTGGTGTTTTAAAATCTTTATTGTCATTTTTGTGGACTACAAAATATAATTCCAACACCACTAACTATCAACCTTTATGAGTGGACCAGTTGCGTGCAGAGGAATTTTTTCTTTTTTTGTTAAATAGTAATAAAATGGTATAGTGATAAAATATATATTTTAAATTATTGATAAAAATTAAATTTTTTATTAATTAAATTCAAATATGATTTCAGACGCAAGAAACCATTAATTTTTTTTTCTTTTTTTGTCATTTTATGTCAAAAATCTCACCAATTGTGATTTGGAATTTCTTGATTTTTTTTAACTTTTTTTTATTAATTTAATTTAATTAAAATATTATGAATCTCATACATTAAGCTTAAACTTATTATTTTATATAATTTTTATTTTTATTTTTATTTTTATTTTTTTAAACATCTTAAAATTATTTACATGTTAATTAAAAAAAATTTGTGAGATTCCAACACAATATTCACAAAAAAAAAAACAAATCTAATTCAGGTCTATACCATTGAGTGTACAGAGAGTGTTCATATAGTTATTATTTTTTATTTGTTTTATTTTAGCCATTAAATTTGATTCATTTGGTTGAATCTAAGCCTTTGGATCTATTTACTAATTTAGGTTTTTCTTTTCTTTTCCCCTCTCTTTTCTCGCGTCCCATCTCATTTCACTATCATTGTTGCTTTTCCTTTCTTCTTGCCGGCACTACAACTAATCTCCTTTCTCTTCCATTTTTTTTTTTCCTGTGATTTAGGGTTCTCAAGTCATATTTTAAGGGGGATGACAGTAATATTGGTGTTGAGTATTGTGATTAGATTTAATTCTTACTTCTTTTTCAATTTCTTTCAATTTTTTTTTTTATTTTTATTATTATGTTGCAACTCTAAACTTTCATTAAAACTTTTTAAAAACAAAATTAAAATATTAATATCATAATTTGATATAGTTTAAAC